CCCCATGTCTCCTAACAGTTACAGAGAACTGTCTCCAACAGGTGTCCCCATGTCTCCTAACAGTTACAGAGAACTGTCTCCAACAGGTGTCCCCATGTCTCCTAACAGTTACAGAGAACTGTCTCCAACAGGTGTCCCCATGTCTCCTAACAGTTACAGAGAACTGTCTCCAACAGGTGTATCCATGTCTCCTAACAGATACAGTGAACTGTCTCCAACAGGTGTCCCCATGTCTCCTAACAGATACAGAGAACTGTCTCCAACAGGTGTATCCAAGTCTCCTAACAGATACAGTGAACTGTCTCCAACAGGTGTCCCCATGTCTCCTAACAGTTACAGAGAACTGTCTCCAACAGGTGTCCCCATGTCTCCTAACAGTTACAGTGAACTGTCTCCAACAGGTGTCCCCATGTCTCCTAACAGTTACAGAGAACTGTCTCCAACAGGTGTCCCCATGTCTCCTAACAGTTACAGAGAACTGTCTCCAACAGGTGTATCCATGTCTCCTAACAGATACAGTGAACTGTCTCCAACAGGTGTCCCCATGTCTCCTAACAGATACAGAGAACTGTCTCCAACAGGTGTCCCCATGTCTCCTAACAAATACAGAGAACTGTCTCCAACAGGTGTCCCCATGTCTCCTAACAGTTACAGAGAACTGTCTCCAACAGGTGTGTCCACAGGTGTCCCCATGTCTCCTAACAGATACAACAGATACAGAACTGTCTCCAACAGGTGTCCCCATGTCTCCTAACAGATACAGAGAACTGTCTCCAACAGGTGTCCCCATGTCTCCTAACAGTTACAGAGAACTGTCTCCAACAGGTGTCCCCATGTCTCCTAACAGTTACAGAGAACTGTGTCTCCAACAGGTGTCCCCATGTCTCCTAACAGTTACAGAGAACTGTCTCCAACAGGTGTATCCATGTCTCCTAACAGATACAGAGAACTGTCTCCAACAGGTGTCCCCATGTCTCCTAACAGATACAGAGAACTGTCTCCAACAGGTGTCCCCATGTCTCCTAACAGATACAGAGAACTGTCTCCAACAGGTGTCCCCATGTCTCCTAACAGATACAGAGAACTGTCTCCAACAGGTGTCCCCATGTCTCCTAACAGTTACAGAGAACTGTCTCCAACAGGTGTCCCCATGTCTCCTAACAGATACAGAGAACTGTCTCCAACAGGTGTCCCCATGTCTCCTAACAGTTACAGAGAACTGTCTCCAACAGGTGTATCCAGGTCTCCTAACAGATACAGTGAACTGTCTCCAACAGGTGTCCCCATGTCTCCTAACAGATACAGAGAACTGTCTCCAACAGGTGTCCCCATGTCTCCTAACAGATACAGAGAACTGTCTCCAACAGGTGTCCCCATGTCTCCTAACAGTTACAGAGAACTGTCTCCAACAGGTGTCCCCATGTCTCCTAACAGTTACAGAGAACTGTCTCCAACAGGTGTCCCCATGTCTCCTAACAGATACAGTGAACTGTCTCCAACAGGTGTCCCCATGTCTCCTAACAGATACAGAGAACTGTCTCCAACAGGTGTCCCCATGTCTCCTAACAGATACAGAGAACTGTCTCCAACAGGTGTCCCCATGTCTCCTAACAGATACAGAGAACTGTCTCCAACAGGTGTCTCCAAACCCCTCTAACAGATACATGGAACTGTCTCCAACAGGTGCTAACAATATTGTATTAAGAAGAGACATGGTCTGATAACTATATACAGGTAGTAGTACTAGTTCACTCACATTCAGTTGCAGATGTTTTGGTGAGATACACATAACATTTCTTTGGTAAGTAATCACCCGTAACAACCAGAACAGAGTAACAGTAACCAACACTCTTCCTCTACATACTCAGCATTACAAACACAACATCATCTTGTACTGTGTACCTCCTAGTTTCAACAGCACCCGTGAAGATATGGGATAGAATTGGTCTTCAGTAACCCATGCTTGTTGTAAGAGGCAGACTAACGGGATCGGGTGGTCAGGCTCGCTGACTTGGTTGACACATGTCATCATATCCCAATTGTGTAGATCTATGCTCATGATGTAGATCACTGAACTGTCTGGTCCAGACTTGATTATTTAGAGACTGCCACCATATAGCTGGAATACTGCGGAGTGTGGCATTAAACAACAAACCAACTAACCTAGTTTCAACAGACAGCTGAGTGCTGGCTTAATGTACTGCCCAACAGCCGAGCTACAGTTCTCTACCACACAATACCTTCAACAAAGGATGACATATGTGTAGATTCACTGCCCTGTTCAAGCTGACTGTGCCATTCCCATTTATTACTAAATTTCAAAGGAGATAAATTCTGACAAAACATACATAGGATGACTTACACTGGTCTTCCCAAATACAAACAAACCCAAACAATGACTAACACTTTGAGAAATAACTTTACCATAACTTTCTGCCTGAAGCATCGTATAACATTTCTTTTATAGCGACTATCTGTTATACTCAACCACTTTATTCAGAAAGCATGAACTCAATGGTTAAAGATATAAAGGGAAATGCTCTCATTCTCCTGCAACCAGGATGTTGGCAATGACCCCGACATAGCACATGCATGCAAATATATACACCGTATTTCCACCCGGGCGCTTATTTTTTCAACAGCCATGCAGACCAGGTGCTTATTGCACTTACTGGGTGTTATTAATTAGGTCTTAACCGCTGCTTTACCCGTGCCACGTATTAGAGGTTCGGCGCTTATTAGAGGAAATATGGTAATATGATTTCTAGTTTTCATTCTGATGCAAACTCAGACAATGATTCAAACTAGATTCACACTGAAAAAAAAGGAACATTGAAAAAGAAAAATATATACTCAACATAATTATTTACAGCACAAACAAACGACAAGCCACTTTGTTTTGTGCCTACATATAACACCACAGTCTGCTAATGCAAACCTTTTGATGTCGATCAATCAACTTTTACCCTAATTACACTGAACACTATCTCGGATTCATACAATATACGGACTCAGCTGACTATAGACATATACTGCCACAGGACATTTTCTTCTTGTTTTTTTAATTATAAAACATTGTTGGATGTGGGATATTCAACTACATAAAAACTGAACTAACAAAGCATGGTTGAAAAGCAAAAACAGATATAATTTGTCAAGAACAAAACATTTTCTGGGTATGCAAATAACTACCGTAGTATTATGCACTACAGACATAAAGAACGACATACCCAACAATGTTGGTCAAATTGATATATAGAGTACAGAATATTTTTCAAAATAAAATATCTTCTTTGAGAGGCATTTTAGAAGTTGTATAGATGAAGGAAAACCAAGTTCAATGGATAGTCAACTTCTTTATTGCAATGAGTGCGACGTGATGTGATGATACGGTGTTAGTACCTACACCGAAACGTCGCACTCATTGCAATAAAGAAGTTGACTATCCATAGAACTTGGTTTTCCTTTAAAATGAAATATAGTAAATCTTGCCTGGAAATGAGTTCCATTGTAATACTAGTATAAGCTTTGCATGAGGACCAAGCCTCGTCTTTCTAGCCAAAAACTATGTTATCAACATTGGAATATCATTTTCCTTACTGAAATAAACAGGAAAGCATAGTTACCATAGTTACCCCAACAAGAAACAAGATTTTTGCTTTCATGAGGATTGTGTTTAATTAGTTAGTTTACAGATGTGTTAATAAAAATGACGAGTGAAAATATGACCTTCCTGAGAAAATATACCCATGTCTCTTGTTACTAACATAAAACATACCGGTACTCACTGACACACAGAGCAAATGTGCTCAATCATTGCCCAATGCCACAAAAATACATGCTTGACGTGTTTTACAAATTCCAAATATCTTCCATCGAAAATAAGATTTGTATTCAGATCTATCTGTACAAAAATGACCCTGAAAATGATTTATTGCATAAATAGGGATTTGTAGCTCACTTACTTTTCTGAATTTTTTTCACAAATATGTTAACACTTCCCAGTATGTACATATACATATATATATGTACACAACAATAACAAGTTGGCTCAGCAGAGGCCACATGGTTGCTATGGCAACCACAGCAGTACACAAAGGTCAAAAGTTCAAAGTGAATTTCTTAATTAGATATGCTGATAGCCTGAGCAGTAGTCAGATATGAAATTTTCAACATGGCCGCCATTTTCAGGAGATGCCATAGCAGTGATAATCCCTGGGAAGTTTCAGCTGCATGTGTTGGATAGGTCAGGGAGAAACGGCAAGGGATGAAGTTTTTACAAGACTCATGGGTTGGGCCCAAGACAGAAGATGCTGAGCTATGGCACAAACTCAGATGAAGTTTTAGTTAACGTTAGCACAACAATACATGATGCTCCCACTGTGCAAACACCAGTCCAATTTTAAGACCTGGGCCCCGTTCCTCAAAGTGATCGTAGCGCTGCCCAAACCTTTTTCTTAAAATACAAGCTTGAAACAAACTACTTTGTTTAACCACTGTATGATATGTTTTGTACTAGCATTTTTTGTAAAAAATATTACTATATTTCAAAAGAAGTATTTATCGATTCCAGAGGTATCATGAAAATAACCTCAAAAAGTTTATACTGGATGTTACTTGACCTTTGGTGAACACTGACCACATTCTTTTGCAAGCATAATCTTGCTATACTATTCACACTTTGCTAAGGATCAAATCATGGATTCAACAGAAAACTATGATGTGGGGTCAAATTCGATTTAAATAACTAAGCTTATTGTAAGCATGGATCCTAGGTTTCAGGGTGTCATTTCATCTTGTGGAACACATACCTGCTATTCACAGGTGTTGTGTTCTTGTCAATGACTTGTTCCATGATTTGCAAAATGGTTGATTTGTGCCATGAAAACCATTTTTATGGTTACTCATGTATCAAGTGCATAAGGTTAGATTAAAGTGACTGTTTGCTTAAAGAGGGTTACTATATTATTATCTATTAAGTTCTAAATGGATACAATTTCAAATTATGAATCTACGGTTAAGTAAAGTTGTGAAGTTTTGTGATCCTTAGCAAAGTGTGAGTAGTATATTATGGAAAATTCTAGTGTTCTAAAACCAGATGAAAATACAACTGTATTTACATGTAATTCTCATGGGGTAAAAAAGCAGTACCTTATCTCAATCACAATGAGACATGTATAAAGTTCAGTTCTCTGAAAATATACTGGCCATTTTTCATTTGTATGAATTCTATTTTCAAAAAATATAAGGTGTAATATATATCTAAAATGAGGAATTTTCCAGTTTCGTCTTGATGTATATTCGCTGTGCCAGATACATGAATTTCCACTTGGACAGAAATCCAACTCTACTGAACACATATGAACTATATTTCACTCCTATGTCGAAACATTTGCTGCACAAAAATATAAAGTCTTCATCAACTGATCATTCATTTGTTCCTGAAAATAGGTGGGAGCAATTCAACTTGTTACTTGTTTCCAATAAAGAACATATCGGACTTGTTATTTCAACATTGAAATCACCATATCACAATCGATTTCAACAGAGGTGGGAGTTTATTCAAGATGACAGATAATATGATAATTTTAAGACAGATTATATAGCAGCTGGCCTAAATGCTAAAATATTAAAGCAAATTAACCATCTGTGAAACTTAATCCACATTTTTCAAGGATGAACATTTAAAGTAACGTACATCTTAGAGCCATTCTGGGACACTAATCCAGGGGAGATAACTCCAGTGTGTTGTGACACTGAGCTAAGCTATGATTCCTGCTAACCAGTAATCACATATTACTGGACCAGGCACTAGAATATTTATTGGTTTTATGAGTCCATCAAGGAGATGAAATTTATTTTGCATAGCAACACTTTTTGGTTCTTAGAATATATCATATATGTCATTTGGCCAAGCGTGGTAATGATCTTCCATTCATACATTTACACAGAAGCACAATATTCACGGTGAATTTCTTGACATACTACTGATCGATACAATGAAGTCTTAAAGATTGCTGGCAGAAAAAACTATGAAATGCAAATATAACTGGATGGTTAAACAGCGTGTAAAATTCCCGCCTGCCTGACCGTCCGGAACGGTCTATTTTCATCTCGGACGGTCAAATTTCAAAAGTAGCCTGTCCGGTGGTCTGGTAGAGATTTTTACCCCTAAATATTTCATAATATCAGACAGGTTCTCTTGTCATCAGTTTGAGGCGTTTGAGATGATTTGAAAATTATGTTACTACTTACGATTGGACAGTTCATGTTACGATAGCCAATCACAACACGTGTAATTTCAGCTTATTGTTGAAAACCGGACAGGCAAGTTTGTATCCGGACTGGTAATTTTTTAAAGTTCTCAGTCCGGCTGTCTGGCTTGGATGTTTAGGAGTTTTAAACACTGGGTTAAACCAATATTCAATCATCAGTAACCAGAATATGTCTGAACACATCTCCCCTAAAATGCTGTAATATCTCTCTAAGTCAGGAACCAGGTTATACAGGAGCTCTACATAAAGCAGTAACAGTGTACCTGATGTTAACGATGTTTCACTGGCACCTGGAATTTGCAAACATCCTAAAACGTTTTTACAAAATTATAAAATTGTAGAAAAAACTCGATAGATGCCTTTGATTGAGGTATAGTATTTTGTCTGGATATTTGGTCAGTTTGAAGTCATTCTTGAAAAGTACTACCAATCAATTATAATAAATCTTTCCTAACAATTTATAAAACTAGACACATACGATCGCATGACATAATGTCATGAAATACATGACATAATATATGAAATATTTCTTCCACCTCAGCATCAAGCCAATCACCAATCGGTAGGTTGTAGGCTAGTGTCTAATATTTTCTGCTGTAGTGGAATATAACTTAATGCCATACAAAGTATTCGGTGCCTGGTACAAGCCTTGATATTGGCCTCTACTGACTTAACAGAACTCAAACATATGATTGATGACTGAGAAAGCACTCACTCTAAACATACATCAGATTCAAATGGGTTTGTCTGGTACACCTGCGCTTCTACGCCATTGCTCTAGTAGACACATATTGACCAACAGGTATCAAACACTAGTGTTCTTGCAGTCCGTTGGTAGCTGGCCGTTTGATATAAGTTTGACTGGATGTTTGTCAACGATGTCTTCCTGCCATAACGGCGGTGATGTTTCTTCCATTATCTGTGCACGGAGACTGTTTCGGAATTTCTGTTAAAAAGAAAACAGGATTTCTGTGAATCATGGTTGATGCTAAGTTAGATTTTAGATTGTTTGGTGTTTAACCCAATCCACAAAGCATTTGTAACATTACGAATGGTCTATGCAGTTTATCATAGGCTTATGAGTGAGTGATTGAGTGAATTTAGTTTTACGCTGCACTCAGCAATATTCCAACCATATGGCGGTGGTCTGCAAATAATCCAGTATGGACCAGACAATCCAATGATCAACAGCATGAGCTCGATTAGTCACCTCTTAGAACAAGCAAGGGTTGCTGAAGACCAATTCTAACCCAGACCTTCACGGTTAAGCCAAGTCAGAAATATTCAAGCTGTATGATGACACCAAAGTATATACAGTATTACATACCCATTTAATACAATGATAGCAATACGTTCATGCACTACAGTGAGCTTAGAGGTACAGATAAGCTGCGTATCTGTGTAAATTACATAAATACTTATGTGAAAACTCAATTCCTATTAAGTTTGTAGCATACAAGTAAGCTTGATTTTTGGGTAAATACACAATAAATTTGGTCTTACATGCGTTCACACACAAAAATGTCAAATCTCAGCTTGGAGGTTACTGAGGATTGACAAAATAACTTAGGTACCTCAGGTATATTGAGAGTAAAACACAAATATTATGGATGACAACTTCTTTATTGTATGTGACTAACGTTTCTTGGCTATTCCTTGCCCCATCGTCCAGAAACGTTGTGACATACAATAAAGAAGAAGTTGTCATCCATAATATTTGCGTTTTATATTAAGAGGTTCTATTTCAGCACATGAACTTGACAACTTGCAGTCTTTCTTCTTGTTCCTCATATTACAGATCAAATAGAAACAACAAAGACATAAACCAACATTTAAACTGTTTTATAATTTTACAATTAATGGAAAATGGCAAAATACCCAATTGAGTTTGAGTGAGGTGGGTATAATTCATTGGTTACTCAAAAGAAAATTAGGATACCCAATTGAGATGAACACAAAGGGGTACATAACTCAATGACCCAAAAAGTCATCTGTAGCTCTGCTTAGGTGGAATCCATATTGTATAACTGCCAGATTTACTTATTCCGATGTTAGGCAGTACACGGATCCGTCAGTAACCTTCTAAATATAGACTTTATTTAGTTCATGGGTTTTCCCATTTTATGGGATCTATTTTTAGGGTTCATACCTGGCACCTGATGTCACGTGGTAGAGCGTGATCTCAAGTATACCTGTGTGATATGATAGGCAAACTGTAGCACAAATAGGGTTCTGCAACAAAGAGAAAATGACCAGTCTTCCTATATGCAAGAGAAGCTTCGCTCACATGTAGAAAGATGGTCATTTTTCTCACTGTTGCTCAGTCCTATTTGCACTACAGTTTGCCTGTGCACAGGGTGACACTCAGGTCACTGTAACGTAAAAAAAAAGTGCTAGCATTGCAATTATGTTAGTACTCTGGGTACCCATTATAACAAATACGGTAATGAGGCTGGACCAGTTGTTGACAGCATGACCAACAATCCAAACAGGGTAAGCCTCCTCTATACCTCTTTTTGAGACTTGGTCTTAACCTTTACCATCAGTTGATAAAGAACAAACTTAGATAAAATATTGTTTATAAAATACCACATCCAATACAAAGAGTACCGGGTACTGCTTTTTTCCACAAACGACCCAGACAGGAGCTAATTTATGATCTGGGTCATGTCTTCGAGAGTGAGTCACATTTCCCTGGACATATGCTACGTTAGTGACGAGAGCCAACCAACCTGGATATACAAATTCATTTGTTGGTTCTCATGACAAACAGAGAAACCATCTATTATTCATTAATATTTAAACTATGGTGACAGTCTCATTATCCATAAACTTGGCATCTGTCAAGGCAATATGGATGTTCTGATATACTGCAGGAAAAGCTAGAAAATAGTCTTCTGACTTTAATAAATACGATTCCTTATGTTATACACCCCATATATAAAAATAACACAAATCTGCCTAATACAGCCAGGTAAAATGTAGGTAAAATACAAGTTGTCGGTGGGTATGTAACACGTTATCTGAAACAAGCTATAACTAGCAGTGATTACACACCACCTGTTGTGTGTCTACCCACAAGTGACAATGTCAAATCAGGTCATAATCAAGTTAAGGGGCCATCTCAAAATATACTTTGGTGTAACAGAAATCAATCGAAAGAATCACAAATATCTTTCTGTTACAAAATGTTTGTGATGCTGGATGCATTAATACAAAACAACCTTAAAGCTACAATTGTCTTAGTCTATGTCAAGGTATGGCAGTTATGATCACTTTATTGCTAAAATCACTTTCTACAAAGACACCCAATTATATTTATAAAATATAGTGTTGCTGTACCCCCTGTGTAGTGTAGTAAGGAAGAGTTTTGACCTGAAATATAACATCCAAGCACAAGGACACCAGCAGTAGCTGCCAGTCGGTCCATTCTGAAACTTCACCCTCTATTTCCCATTGATTATCAATATGTTTCTTTTCCCCCCTCAGAGACCAAGTTACCCTGATGAGTCACCCTGTACCTTGTGTGCAAGAAAATCATGTGTTTACCTAACCTAATGGTACACACAGTGGAATGTTCTCTATTGAACCAGGTTTCATTAGGCAAGTCATCTGGATGGAGTGAGTATGATTTTATACCGAGTTTAGTAATATTCCAGCAATATCATGGTGGGGGACACCAGAAAGGGGCTTCACACGTTGTACCCATGTGGGGAATCGAACTCAGGTTTTCAGCGTGACGAGTGAACGCTTTAACCACTAGGCTACCCCACTGTCAAGTCATCTGGAAGCTTGACTGTGATTATCATAAACATTGCAGGTAATATGTAATCACTCGATTTAATTGAATACTTGTGTCTCAAACATGCTTCATTACTGTCCAACAGTACCTAAATTTAGTTCTATGACGTGACGCTTAATGGTGGCCAGTAGGATTTGCCCTAATTCTGTGTATTTGCCTTAAAACATTTTTAAATTTCCTTCTGAATTCTACAGTTTGGTGGCGTCTTTTGATCATAAAGTCTACATGTGGTATGACATATCAACCCTCTAGACCACCTTCTCCCAGGATTTTGAGAATACCCCTACCTTGTTTGTATAATTTTCCTATTTTACACTTTCTGCCACAGCAGATCCACTTACTCAGCAAGTTTGATAACATACCTAATACAATCTAAATATATTTCTGGTCACCTTGCTGATCAGTGCGAAATCATACCCTGAGAAACTGCAGATGGAGGAGATTAACAACGAAATAGTTCAAACCCTGTGTAGGTTGTGGCAGTTGTTCGATATTTTGATAGATTTCTGTGTTAATGCTGTAATTATTTAAGGGAAAAAATAAATTTCTCTGTTATTTCAGTAAAAATAATTATTATCTCATTCTGATTTTGCAAACAATTTTGATTTTTGAACAAAAGGGCTTAAGACTGTTTCAACATACAGAAACTTAATGCAGCAGTATCCATAAATGTCTTAAAAATATTTATAGAACTAGCATTTTATGTTTTTATGCCCTAAATTATCCAGGTTGTGTATCATAAATCATACGAACTTCAATCAAACTAAAAAACCCATCTTCCTAATATACAGTAACATTGAAACTGTCTAGAATTTTTACCAAGTCTATGCATTACCTGTAAAAGATTATCTCCCTTTGCCTTGTAGACGGCATGAACCATTCCCAGGGGGATACACACCATAGACGCGAGGGCCAAGAACCAGCCCAGGACCTGCGCCCACAGTGGATACTCATAGCCGGCTATTGACAGGGGCTTGTACTGTATCATACTGAACACCAGGATTCCCTGAAAGTATACAACATCAAATCATCTCAATTCATATCTCACAAAACCATGACCCCAATCCACAAAGCATTCATAATGTTACGAACGGTCGTAACTCTGCAGTTTATCATAGGCTTATGAGTGAGTGAGTGAGTGAGTGAGTTGAGTGAGTGACTGAGTGAGTGAGTTTAGTTTTATGACGCACTCAGCAATATTCCAGCTATATGGCGTCGGCCTGTAAATAATCGAGTCTGGACCAGACAATCCAGTGATCAACAGCATGAGCATCGATCTATGCAATTTTGAACCAATGACATGTGTCCACCAAGTCAGCAAGCCTGACCACCCAATCCCGTTAGTCGCCTCTTACAACAACCATGGGTTACTGAAGATCTTCATGGGTGTCATAGGCTTACGAATGTCGTATCTTTATGGGTGTTTCGTGGTGTGGACCCGATCTTTTACACTGATGCAATAAAAGTTTCAGTTAAACTATGACAACACTCCACAGAGGTAATATTACGTGAACTTTGACAGATTTTGTCTGCTCATTGGAAATGGGAGATGTGTGGTTTCTGGGCCAATCAGATGTTTTCTAAAATGATTCTCTCCATTTCATTATTAACTTTGCCAACATTATCTCTTTTCCGTCTCTGAGGTTCCCGCTGGTTTATTACTGATCAAATTTGTTTAAAAATATTTGGTCTAGGCAACAGAAAGCTGATGCACCTGAACAACTACTTCCACATTGATAGTCCACACTTTGGGGTATCCACAATGCAGACATTATTATTCACCATTTGGAACTGCCCATCCATATTAGCATTTGAGTCACAGACATGGGTGCTGTTGTACAAAATGATCTTTGTGCTGGGGGAAAAACTGTGCAAAATATACGCTTTAACCACTAGGCAGCTATCCCATCACCCCCTTGATAATGATGAACTTGAAGGCCTTAAGGTCAGACTAATTTTATTTCTTGTTTTACAGATCCGCCGGTCGTATTTTTTCAAGAATAAGACAAAAAAATAAATTAACTTTCCCTGCTCAAAAAATAAAATCCTAATGTTTTTATTGGCCAAAAATGTAAACTTAAAAGAAAAAGTTTTTTTGATTGTTTTTTGCCCCATATACATATCATAAATTGCCAGAAGTAAAATACTTTTGATATTTAGAAGGAATATTACTTTGACTCGTGATTATATATTTATTTTTTTCCCCTCCTGTCTTTAGGTTTTCTGAGGACAAAAATCCGTAAAACAAGAAATAAAATTGGTCTGGCCTAAGTAAGTTTTTCAACAAACATTGTGAAAAACTGAACATACATATTGAGTCCCGTCACAACATGTAGCAATTGTCTCTCCAGTCTGATAACTAATGGTGGAGGAGTGGCCAGAAATAACTTTTTCAATGAGAATGCTGTGTTCGTTCTATTAGAAAATGGAATTAGAACCTCTTGAACAAATTACATTGTCATCATGGAGGGAACAAGCATGTACGTTCCAGCTTCGACGTTTCATATGTTTCTGAGAAGATGTTTACAATGTGCACAGGATACCAGACAAACAAACTACAAGAGACAACTTCACTTGACCTGAGAGAGGGGAGCTAATATACACCAACCAGGCATTGTGACCACCCAATACTCATTAGTTGACTTCAAGATGAATTGGGTCTACTGGGAACCTGTCCTATTTCTGTTGAAGGAATTAGGCTAGAATGGGCTTCAAAGATGAGGTGGGTGAACTGGGAACCTGTCCTACCCCTGTAGAAGGAATTAGGCTAGAATGGGCTTCAAAGATGAGTTGGGTTAACTGGGAACCTGTCCTACCCCTGTAGAAGGAATTAGGCTAGAATGGGCTTCAAAGATGAGTTGGGTTAACTGGGAACCTGTCCTACCCCTGTAGAAGGAATTAAGCTAGAATGGGCTTCAAAGATGAGCTGGGTATACTGGGAACCTGCCCCTGTAGAAGGAATTAAGCTAGAATGGGCTTCAACTGGGTATACTGGGAACCTCCTGTAGAAGGAACCTAGATTGACTTCAATGACAAGCTGTAGAAGGTAATTAAGCTAGAATGGACTTCAAAGATGAAGCTGGGTATACTGAGGAACCTATCCTGCCCTGTAGAATTAAGCTAGATTGACTTCAAGCTGGTTATACTGGGAACTTGCAGAAGATAGACTGCTTCAATGACAAGCTGGTTATACTGGGAACCTGTCCTGCCCCTGTAGAAGGAATTAAGCTAGAATGGACTTCAATGACAAGCTGGTTATACTGGGAACCTGTCCTGCCCCTGTAGAAGGAATTAAGCTAGATGGACTTCAATGACAAGCTGGTTATACTGGGAACCTGTCCTGCCCCTGTAGAAGGAATTAAGCTAGATGGACTTCAATGACAAGCTGGTTATACTGGGAACCTGCCCCTGTAGAAGGAATTAAGCTAGATGGACTTCAATGACAAGCTGGTTATACTGGGAACCTGTCCTGCCCCTGTAGAAGGAATTAAGCTAGAATGGACTTCAAAGACAAGCTGGGTATACTGGGAACCTGTCCTGCCCCTGTAGAAGGAATTAAGCTAGAATGGACTTCAAAGACAAGCTGGGTATACTGGGAACCTCCTGCCCTGTAGAAGGAATTAAGCTAGAATGGACTTCAATGACAAGCTGGGTATACTGGGAACCTGTCCCTGTAGAAGGAATTAAGCTAGAATGGACTTCAAAGACAAGCTGGGTATACTGGGAACCTGCCCCTGTAGAAGGAATTAAGCTAGAATGGACTTCAAAGACAAGCTGGGTATACTGGGAACCTGCCCCTGTAGAAGGAATTAAGCTAGAATGGACTTCAATGACAAGCTGGTTATACTGGGAACCTGCCCCTGTAGAAGGAATTAAGCTAGAATGGACTTCAAAGACAAGCTGGGTATACTGGGAACCTGCCCCTGTAGAAGGAATTAAGCTAGATGGACTTCAATGACAAGCTGGGTATACTGGGAACCTGTCCTGCCCCTGTAGAAGGAATTAAGCTAGATGGACTTCAATGACAAGCTGGGTATACTGGGAACCTGCCCCTGTAGAAGGAATTAAGCTAGATGGACTTCAGTGACAAGCTGGGTATACTGGGAACCTGCCCCGTGTAAAGGAATTAAGCTAGATTGACTTCAATGACAAGCTGGTTATACTGGGAACCTGTCCTGCCCCTGTAGAAGGAATTAAGCTAGATGGACTTCAATGACAAGCTGGGTATACTGGGAACCTGCCCCTGTAGAAGGAATTAAGCTAGATGGACTTCAATGACAAGCTGGTTATACTGGCAACCTGTCCTGCCCCTGTAGAAGGAATTAAGCTAGATGGACTTCAATGACAAGCTGGGTATACTGGGAACCTGCCCCTGTAGAAGGAATTAAGCTAGATGGACTTCAATGACAAGCTGGGTATACTGGGAACCTGCCCTGTAGAAGGAATTAAGCTAGATGGACTTCAATGACAAGCTGGATACTGGGAACCTGCCCCTGTAGAAGGAATTAAGCTAGATGGACTTCAATGACAAGCTGGGTATACTGGGAACCTGCCCCTGTAGAAGGAATTAAGCTAGATGGACTTCAATGACAAGCTGGGTATACTGGGAACCTGCCCCTGTAGAAGGAATTAAGCTAGATGGACTTCAATGACAAGCTGGGTATACTGGGAACCTGACCTGCCCCTGTAGAAGGAATTAAGCTAGATGGACTTCAATGACAAGCTGGGTATACTGGGAACCTGCCCCTGTAGAAGGAATTAGGCTGGAATAGTGGCCTACCAGCAGCAACAAGGGAGACAGGAGGTACCAGCACACGATGAAGAACACTGGCGGGTGGTGGCCGGTCATCTCCTCAATGTTCCGGGCCAAGCGCCGAGCACCTGAAACCGTTATTATTGCACACTGGACAAGTGGTGGATATAGTTAACATTTGGCAAACACTAAGTCATTTCATCAGCTACAAGTGGCTCCCTTTGACAAACAGTCAAACACTGCTTCGATGTGTCACAATTACACTCCAACTAAAAGCTTGGTCCCATGCAGATTCCTTCTTTAGTCATCATTATGTGTTTGTGTCAAATTTTGGATAACTACGATAAGTTTACATACGTAAACATTGACACAACAGCGTTTACCTGTACTTGCTCATGGTAGTCACTCCGATGTGAGTTATTTGTTTGCAGGTTGTGGGAGGAAAGACAAAAGATCATAATCAAGGTAAACATGTGAATGCAAACTATGATCAGCAGATCCTGCCAAAACTAAGGGAAGCAATTCTGCAAATCAGAGATACAGGATATCTATCCCTCTTTGTTTATGATCACAGCTGAGGTATCTCCACAAAAGCCATGACTTATACCACCATGTCAACAAGCTTCTCCTTGTCAACTTTATCATCACTATTGTAAACCAAAAGTCACTGTTCTTTAATCTGATTGGTTGAAAAACGTGATCAAATGGTATTCGATTCCCGGAAATTCGCTGTGTATTAATACATACAAACATCGCTCACACCATTGTATTGTTACGTCGTCAGCTGACATGACGTCATTCAAATCATATTGTGACGTAAAGTCCAAATGACGTCACAAATGAGCAGTTCTAGATGCTACCATGGGAGACAGCAGAAACGGCCGGCTGATGACATTGCACTGCTGTACCCGTACTCTATGTCAATGAGTGCAGACACAAAAACGTGTTTGGACCTTTTGGTTTACTTTTGTGTTTACAATGTCGATAAACATCATGTGTCGGCCGATTTCCGGGTGTTATTGAGTATTTGAAGCACGGGAATATTCCATTTGAAACCTCCGGCTGACGCCGTCACTCAATAACACCCGGAAATTGGCCAACACATGATGTTTATCTCCTAATGCACACAGAAACTCAAAACAAATTCAACCTAAAGACGGGGACTCTGCAGGAAAAAGCCTTTTTAGCTCCATGACCCAGCTTAATATGATCCCCTTTTCACAGTGAATGAGTGAACGTTGTATTACAGACAGTAATAGTTATAACAAGGAATAAGTCTTGGACGGGCAAGCTGATGGTTGATAACGCGAGCAACAAATGACCTTGTCTTAGGGAAGATGCCACTTTGTGACCAATCAGTAATCATGTTACTTGGTTTTAACACCAAGTCTGGGTTTCTAACACAGAATCATGCATGGGTTCCCTCCTTAAACTTTCAGTTGTTCACATACTAAGTGAGCGAGTTCGTAAGTTTAGTTTTACGCCGTATATAGCAATATTCCAGCTATAGGGTGGTGGTCAGTAAATAATCGAGTCTGGACCAGACAATTCCAGTGATCAATAGCATGAACATCGATCTACATAATTGGAATACGAAGACACACAACAAATCCAAACTAAGATAGTGCCTTGATGATGGCCTTTTGCAACTGAAGAACATTATTCCACTACAGTATTTTCTTCTACTCAATTGCCAACTCACCATAAAACCAGTTGACTGCGATGACTTCAAAGAATGCTAGCACCATGAGTGATAAGGCAGCAGTGTAGTAATCTATCAGTTGGAAATAATAGATCCCTCCCTGCAACATGAGTCAGGATACAACATCTCACAAATTGTTCATCATTCTCATCAAATAGGTTCCCTTGTTAGGTAACCAATGCAATAATGGATTTCTCTTGAGCAATTAAAACAAAACCTACAAACAAAAAAGCTGTACTCGAAGTTGATAAAATATGTAAGTCACGTTTGTATCTAGTTCTTGGCAAATTTGTTTAATAACATTGACGGGCATGATGTGGTCTTCTACATGGACATCTAGGTACAGAGGCCTCATCTGTGTTATGTTTGGAATTCCTTACTGGAGTTATGTTTGGCAAGCCTCACATGAGGTATGTTTGGTGGGCCTCACATGAATTATATTTGGAACTCCTTACCTGAGTTATGTTTGGCAGTCCAAACAGACAGGACACTACGCACACAACAAGCACCAGGAGCTCCTTCCGGTGGAGATACTTTTTTATCTTGTCACCGAAGTGATCAGATAAGGCAGTAACAATGACCTCCACGGAGGCAAACTGAAAACATCATCATTACATCAGGTAGTTGGAAGCTTCAGAACATAGTCATGTGGAGGCTGGGTATAAGAACAGAGGTGTTGATAGCAGAGCATTCAACATCAAGTGATGTAGCCATAAATAGACTGTCAGTAGCCGTAAGTTTTCATGATCAACAATATTTAGACATCAAGGATTCTGACATCCGCCACCAACATAGCTGTCAGTGGCCACAAGTTTTCATGATCAACAATATTTAGACATCAAGGATCGTGACGTCTGCTACCAACATAGCTGTCACTGGCTACAAGTTTTCATGATCAACAATATTTAGACATCAAGGATTGTGACGTCTGCTACCAACATAGCTGTCAGAGGCTACAAGTTTTCATGATCAACAATATTTAGACATCAAGGATTGTGACGTCTGCTACCAACATAGCTGTCACTGGCTACAAGTTTTCATGATCAACAATATTTAGACATCAAGGATTGTGACGTCTGCTACCAACATAGCTGTCACTGGCTACAAGTTTTCATGATCAACAATATTTAGACATCAAGGATTGTGACGACTGCTACCAACAAAGCTGTCAGTAGCCGTAAGTTTTCATAATCAACAATATTTAGACATCAAGGATTGTGACGTCTGCTACCAACATAGCTGTCAGTAGCCGTAAGTTTTTATAATCAACAATATTTAGACATCAAGGATTGTGACGTCTGCTACCAACATAGCTGTCAGTGGCTACAAGTTTTTCAGTTCAACAGTATTCAGACATCAAGGATTCTGACGTCTGCCACAAACATAGCTGTCAGTGGCTACAAGTTTTTACGATCAACAGTATTCAGACATCAAGGATTCTGATGTTTGCCACAAACATGGCTGTCACTGGCAACAGTATTCAGATATGAAGGATTCTGATGTCTACTACAAACATGACTGTCAGTGGCTACACGTTTTTATTATCAACAGCATTTAGATATCAAGGATTCTCACATCTGAATCCAGCAGGACTGCCAGTGGCTACAAGTCTTTATTATCAACAACATTTAGACATCAAGGATTTTGACACTAACAGGACTCTGGAACAACAAGTTCCATCTGTTCGTTCTACCCACCTGACTGTCAATGCCCAGACAGATAAGCATGAAGAAGAAGAGTGCGGCAAACAGCTGAGAGACTGGCATACTGGTGAAAGCTTCTGGGTAGATGACAAACACTAGGCCGGGCCCTGCAACAAACACAGATGTTGTACATTTCGGTGTATGTATTCATGATGTGATAGGTCCATCATGTGTGCGTTGCCGTCCTATTATGGCTCCACACACCACAGATGAACTCCATCACATACACAGATGCACCAGGACACTGACAGGCTTCCACAAACATTATACTTTGTAATAGCAACAACATCAGTGCTACTGAATATCTCTGGTCCACAGGACATATGCGGTACAACTGTAATCTCTAAGATGTGTATCACATATACTTTTATATTACCTTTTCAGTAATTTTTGTCTTATATTCTGCTTAAGGTTGACATTTGCATCTTATATATTCTGTGAGTATATTGGTCTTGAGCACCTGAGTGAATTTGTCTACTGAGCAAGGATATTTGTCTACTGGACATGCCAATTTGTCTAGTGGGCCAGTACATATGTTTCATGAACCATTTATCTTGTAAAACAATATAGTTGTCTGGTGGAACATGAATATTTTTCAACTGGACAAGCAAATTTGTCTGGAGGACCAGTATGTTTTTCTAGTGGACCATCATCTTGTGTAGTGAACAATCTTATTTGTGTAGTTGACCAGTCTAGTGGACCATCCTATTTGCAGAGTGAACCAGTCTAGTCGACCATCCTATTTGCAGAGTGAACCAGTCTAGTCGACCATCCTATTTGCGTGGTGAACCAGTCTAGTCGACCATCCTATTTTTCAGCGGATTTGTGTAGTGGACCATCCTATTGGACCATTTTATTTGTGTGGTGGACCAGTCTAGTGGACCAGCATATTTGTGTAGCAGCCGCTGGTCATGTGACCCCGGTTGGAAAACATACAATGTTTTATGGATTTATGGATGTATGGCAATGTCCATTGAAAAAGTACCCTAAAAATGAATTCATAAGCCACAGAAATTAAGACAGTATCTAGAGTGATTTCTCAGTAGCCCCTGAAACTTCAAGAACAATGTCGGTAACTGTGTGTTTTCTGGGGAAAGAGCAGACCCTGAGCAGCATCTAAATACTGACCTCCCTGTCCCTCAGATAAGCTCTTACACCAACACAGATTACCCTATTCCCAAGATGAGCTCTTATACCAAGAAAGACTTCACTGTCCCTTTGATGAGCCCCTACCCCAAAGGACTTCCCTGTCCTCTAGATGAACTCCTAGATGCAAGAAAGACTTCCCTGTCATCTAGATGAGCTCTTACACCAAGAAAGACTTCCCTGTCCCCAGATGAGTTCCTACATCCAAGAAAGACTTCCCTGTCCCTTTGATGAGCCCCTACCCCAAGGAAGGACTTCCCTGTCCTCTAGATGAGCTCCTACATCAAAGAAAGACTTCCCTGTCATCTAGATGAGCTCCTTCAACCATGAGAGACCCCCCAACTATCCATTTTATGAACCCCTACCCCAAGGAAAGACTTCCTTGCCCTCTATATCAGCTCCTACATGCAAGACAGACTTCCCTGTTCTCTAGATGAGCCCTTACACCAAGAAAGACTTCACTGTCTACTAGATGAGCTCTTACACCAAGAAAGACTTCCCTGTCCTCTAGATGAGCCCTTACACCAAAAAGTCTTCCCTGTCTACTAGATGAGCTCTTACACCAAGAAAGACTTCCCTGTCCTCTAGATGAGCTCTTACACCAAGAAAGTCACCAAGATGAGCTCTTCACCTGTCATCTAGATGAGCTCCCCATCTAAGATGAGCTCTTACACCAAGAAAGTCTTCCCTGTCCTCTAGATGAGCTCTTACCGTCTATGAGCTCTTACACCAAGAAAGACTTCCCTGTCCCCAAGATGAGCTCTTACACCAAGAAAGACTTCCCTGTCCCCTAGATTAGCTCCTACATCCAAGAAAAACTTCCCTGTCATCCAGATGAGCTCCTACATCCAAGAAAGACTTCCCTGTCATCCAGATGAGCTCCTACATCCAAGAAAGATCCTTATTTCCCCTAGATGAGCTCCTACATACCAGAAAGACTTCTGTCCCTTAGATGAACTCCTACATCTAAGAAAGAACATCCTGACCCCTATATGAGTTCCTACACCCAAGAAAGAGTTCCCTGTCCCCTAGATGAGCTCCTATATTCCAGAAAGACTTCTCTGTCCCCTAGATAAGCTCCTACATCTAAGAAACACCCTTCTATCCACAAGATAAGTTCCTACACCCAAGAGAGAACTCCCTGTCCCTTACCTGAGCCACTATCAAGACAGACGTCCATGTCAGTTATTTTATGTGGTTACTACAGAAATCAAATTATATGTGTCAAAACACAAAAACATGACAGACATCAACTAAGAAGTTGTACTTCAAGTTTACCAAGCTTGAAAAAATAAATGTGATAAATATGAGTATATGAGTCTACAATTATGACATGAAAAAAAAATGTAATAAAGTTTGAACAAACACAGTACCAAACTCTGTTGGAAGGCTAACCACTAAAAACCTTGGTCTCAACCCCTACTACTTGACTCATTATTTTTGCTGAGACCAAGAAATAAATTTTGAAACAATTTATTTTCTCAGCACAGAATTAGGTTACCTCCCAAAGACACAAAGATCCGATTGTCTAAAACACCTGTGTCTTTTTGAAGGCACTGACATAGTGTTGACATTTCATAGTATACCGGAGGAGTGGCTGTTTCAGTTTCAAATCCAACACTACTTCAACAATAACTGATGCTACTCAAGTGGTACTTCTTGTGGCTTCTTGGTCATCTACTGGAAAAAATGATAATGCAAGGTTTCGAATCTAAAAAAGGTCAGCTGGTTAACTTTAGAGAAGGCTTCAAGGTCAGATGAATATGACGGCAGAAAATAACAATTTCTGCAAATTTGGAGTTCTGATAATTCTAAATAATTTTACTGTTCATACATTCGATCTCCATGTTCATGAACATATTAAAGATGATAGTAAGACAAAAGTCAAGAGTCTTCAGCTACAATATTATTCTGATTACATTCTTCCACAACGTTAATGTAAAAATACATTATCAAGAACTAAATTTCAGGAATTTGTGTTATTGTTTATACTATTGTTTCAGCTGAATTGGAAAAAATTGATGATTAATTGAGATCTTCAAATGACCTTGACCTTTGTATTTAATTGGTTTGACCTCAACCATGACCTTGACCTCTGCAAATCCTGGCTGCAATGGCCAGGACTCACCTTCTTGAACCACATCAGCTACGTCTTTATTCTGTGTCAGGGCCAAGTTGCCCAAGATGGAGAAAATCGCGAAGCCAGCCAGAATGCAGGTAAAAGCGTCGACTACCGCCAAAGATAACACATCTCTGGAAGGCAGATAAGGGTATGAAGAACATGTCTAGTGGCGCCAAGGCCAAAAAAATCATTCAATTTGTCAAGCCGACTTCTTATTCTAGCTTTTCTAAACCTGTTTACTAAATATATCTTGTTTTAGTTAGTCAGCCTCTCCAAATCCAATCTGATCTTCTATGGTGTCTGGAAGCTAACAAATCTTAGCACTAAAATAAAACGGGGAGACTATGTTGGTTATTCTTGACATATTATAAGAACCTCCTGGCCCAAAATCATTTTCAAACACTGACCAGCTAGCACTAAACCCTAAACTTCAATAAGTCCTCCCCCTCACTGTACATATCCCCTGTTCCACGATCATATACCTAGCCCCACCTGCAATGGTCATAAACCTAACCCCACCCCACAGGATCATGAACCTAAAACCACCCCACAGGATCATGAACCTAGAACCCACCACCAGGGTCATGAACCCAGAACCACCCTGCAGGATCATAAACCTAGAACCCCAAGGATCATAAACCTAACCCCACAGGATCATGAACCTAGACTCCCCCTGAGGATCATAAACCTAACCCCACCCCACAGGATCATGAACCTAGAACCACCCCACAGGATCATGAACCTAGAACCACCCCACAGGATCATGAACCTAGAACCACCCCACAGGATCATGAACCTAGAACCACCCCACAGGATCATGAACCTAACCCCACCCCACAGGATCATGAACCTAGAACCACCCACCAGGATCATGAACCTAGACTCCCCCTGAGGATCATAAACCTAACCCCACCCCACAGGATCATGAACCTAGAACCACCCCACAGGATCATGAACCTAGAACCCACCCCATCATAGCAAAACCCACCAACCACCCCACAGGATCATGAACCTAGAACCACCTAGACCAGGATCATGAACCTAGAACCACCCACCCCAGGATCATGAACCTAGAACCACCCACCAGGATCATGAACCTAGAACCGACTCACCACCAGGATCATGAACCTAGAACCACCCACAGGATCATGAACCTAGGATCATAAACCTAGACTCCCCCCTGAGGATCATAAACCCACCCCACAGGATCATGAACCTAGAACCACCCACAGGATCATGAAACCTCCTAGAACCACCCACCAGGATCATGAACCTAGAACCACCCACCAGGATCATGAACCTAGAACCGACCACCAGGATCATAAACCTAGAACCACCCACCAGGATCATAAACCTTACCCCACCCCACAGGATCATGAACCTAGAACCACCCCACAGGATCATAAATCTAAACCCACCCCACAGGATCAGCTAGCACTAAACCCTAAACCTCAATAAGTCCTCCCCCTCACTGTACATATCCCCTGTTCCAGGATCATATATCTAGCACCACCTGCAATGGTTATAAATCTAACTACACCCGCAATGGTCATAAACCTAAACCCACCCCCAGGATCATGAACCCAGAACCACCCCACAGGATCATGAACCTAGAACCACCCACCAGGATCATAAACCTAACCCCACCCCCAGGATCATGAACCCAGAATCACCCCACAGGATCATGAACCTATAACCACCCACCAGGATCATGAACCTAGAACCACCCCACAGGATCATGAACCTATAACCACCCCCAGGATCATAAACCTAACCCCACCCCACAGGATCATGAACCTATAACCACCCCACAGGATCATGAACCTAGAACCACCCACCAGGATCATAAACCTAACCCCATCCCACAGGATCATGAACCTAGAACCACCCCACAGGAACATGAACCTAGAACCACCCCCAGGATCATAAACCTAACCCCACCCCACAGGATCATGAACCTAGAACCACCCCAGGATCATAAACCTAATGCCATCCCACAGGATCATGAACCTAGAACCACCCCCAAGATCATGAACCTAGAACCACCCCACAGGATCATGAACCTAGAACCACCCACCAGGATCATAAACCTAACCCCACCCCACAGGATCATGCACCTAGAACCACCCACCAGGATCATGAACCTAGAACCACTCCCCAGGATCATGAACCTAGAACCACCCACCAGGATCATAAACCTAACCCCACCCCCCAGGATCATGAACCTAGAACCACCCCCAGGATCATGAACCTAGAACCACCCCCCAGGATCATGAACCTAGAACCACCCCACAGGAACATGAACCTAGAACCACCCCCAGGATCATAAATCTAAACCCACCCCACAGGATCATAAATCAATCGCCTTCCTCTAAGATCATAAACCTGGTACATTTTGATAAAAAAAATATACTAATAAGATAATAATATTCAACTGGAACACACATTTTTGGTGTAAATTGATTAAAAACATTCATTGATGAATTAAAGGACAGCACTTTTTTACATGACAATGATGATACAAAAAGAAAAAAACACACAATATAACGCAGCAGTATCCCCTTTTTATAAAAGAACAAAATAAATGTCATATGATGAAGTATATATGATATCAAAAGAATAAACAATATCAAAATGTACCTTAAAGTAATGTAAAATAAAATATGACTACAAACATGATAAGGAGAATGAGGGAACTGTATGATATTGGGCAGGCCATGAATCAGCATCAGTAGAGACACGAGAGTCTCCAGCGGCCATACAACATTCACAGTGTTAATTGTGTTTGTGGGAAATAGCATTCTTCTAGAAAATATTCATGTATTTACCACAACCTGAAACACAACACAATAATGTACACAGGTAATGTTACGTAACATGTCTAACTTATAAATAACTTGGCCACTTTTAAAACCAATCTCAAGACCCACCTTTTCTCAAAGACATACGCCTAGACCGAGTGGACCTTGCTGATACATGTGACATGCATCCTCTCAAAGCGCTTTTGAGCAGTTATACTGACTGGATTCTTGCTCTATATAAGTTCTTAGTTGATGATGATGATGATAACATTTAACTTGTTTGAGTGGCATTTTTGAAGTTGAGACATACAATATAGAAGTATGTTTATCCATAAAATATTGTTCTATATTATCTAACATTTAGTCCCAGAAATAAAATTGTAAATATATAGCTACATATTTTAAAACATATATCTTGGAAAAAAAATGTAAATGAAACAATTCACATTTTCCTAGACAATCTAGACTTGCTAAATCATTCTAGAGTTGGATTTTTTTGTAAATTTATTATTTAGGGTTTAGAAGACATACTAGACACACTTAATGTCCATAAGATTTCATATCAACAGTTAAAGACATCATGTCAACAAACATATATTACATTTTCAAAAAGATAGAAGGATAGTATTGAACAATAGACAGATAAGGGATGAATGAGGCATAAAAAATGGACTAATAAATACATGTGACCTTGTGATGAAAATGAAACACTTTAGCATTAGACAAATGACAATGTCACTGATTAACTCTGCAGTATCATTTACTATCTGTTTGAAACAGTTGTGTAGGAAGTACTTAACAACCTATTCTTATCCATGTCATAAAGCGTTTGAAATCCGTACAATATACAAGTACAAATGTACAGAATCACCAGAAAAATATCACTGTAGTAGTTCCTAATAGTCCTCCCCGAACATAGTGTTGACACACGCTTTAAATGCTTAGTGAGTGACTTTAGTTTTACGCCGCTTTTAGCAATATCTAGCAATATCATGGTGGGGGACACCAGAAATGGACTTCACACATTGTACCCATGTGGGGAATCGAACCCAGGTCTTCGGCATGATGAGCGAACGCTTTAACCACTAAGCTACCCCACCGCCTCTTAAATGCTTAATGGTTAAAAGACAATAGCGGCCTTGATACATTCCTACAATAATGTATTTCTAACAAGACATGGATCCAAGTAAGAGAATATGGCCAGTAAATGTAACGAAAACATGAGTGAAACACACGAGACACTGAGATAACTCACCTGAGAATACTGTTATTGAACTTGCTGTAGCTCGACATGGTGATGAGCCCTCCGAACGCGACCAACGCGACGCCCAGAGAGTTGAAGGTCTGCGCTGCTGCATTCACCCAAACCTGTTGGAACATATACAAAGGATGAGTTAGATGGGTTAAACACAGCCTATGTAAGTTGTCTACCTCAAAAACTTTCATTCAGCCTAAGTACCATATATTACTCTTGTTTTTTACTGCTAACCTAAATGAAATATATGAAGAAAGAGTTCTCAAGAGAGCCCCTAAGATTATATCGGATCCAGATCATCCCATCCACTATGAGTATAGATTACTGCCTTCTGGGTGCAGTTATAATTTACCCCGTCTTAAATACAATCGTGCCATGAAATCCTTTGTTCCCGCCAGTATTAATCTTTTAAATGATTCCTAGTGTTTGTCTCACCTTGTTAGCATGTTATATGTGTGTTGTTTATTGTATGAAAACAATTTAATCATTTTATCAGTGTTTGAGCTCTGTACTTTACACAAGAATTCCCTCACGGGTAATAAAGTATTGTCATTGTCAAGCCGATTTCATAGATAAGCTGACCCCTAACCTGACCCTTAAAATCAGTATCAAAATGGTATGTTCAATAGATAAGCCGACCCCCCAAACTAAGCTCTTCTTTTCGGCATGATCAGGCATCGGAAATAATGTCAACAAGTCCATATTGAATTATGCAAGTTTATCCTCCGATAAAGTGTATCAGCATAGTGGGAGGACGTAGGTCCCACAGTGTTCGCAGACCAAGGATTATAAAAGGAGGATGGTTTTAAGCCACTTTTCGCAATACTCCAGCAATATTGTGACAGGGGACACAGGAAATGGGCTTCACACATTTTATCAATGGGTGGAATCAAACCTATATCTTTAGCATGGTGAGGAAATGCTTTAACCACTAGGCCTGCACAGTGTGATACAGCATGTTGTACAACACATAGTACAACATGTACAACACATTGTACAACATATACAAGACATTGTACAACATGTACAACACATTGTACAACACATACAACACAATGTACAATGGGACACCAATGTCGTAACAGCTGAACGGAAACTGAAACCCATCGCCATCAGGGGTGTTTGTCCATCTTGAAGCTGGTAACATGTGTGAGTCGTGAACAACATTGGTATCTTCACATTTGGGATTGGGTACAAGTATTTTATCTCAAAGGGACTAGCAGGACTATCTTTGCACCAGTGAGCTATTCCCGGTCATGACAAGAGATTCAAATATGCCTTCACTTTGACTGTGTCCAGGCATTTCTATTGTAACGCTTCTTGTACTAACAATTTACATGTATATTCTTCTAGGACTTATTCAGCTCCAAAACTGGTGACCCGTTTTTACATATTAATGGTACATTTAGGCCAAGCAATACATTTGACACCTCTAAAAACATTTGAGGCAAGTGACCCACCTTGGCATCTAAGAGCTGTTCCCACTTTGGTTCAATGAAGAATCGGATGCCGTCCATGGCTCCATCCAGCGTGAGTCCTCTGATCAGCAGGATGACCAGCACCACGTAGGGGAAGGTGGCCGTGAAGTACACAACCTGGACAGACAAGACACACTTCTACATACAGCAGTTAGGGCTGGGACGGGTAGCTCGGGGAGGACACAACCTGGACAGACAAGACACACTTCTACATACTGCAGTTAGGGCTGGGACGGGTAGCTCGGGGAGGACACAACCTGGACAGACAAGACACACTTCTACATACAGCAGTTAGGGCTGGGGGGACGGGTAGCTTCGGGGAGGACACAACCTGGACAGACAAGACACACTTCTACATACAGCAGTTAGGGCTGGGTAGCTCGGGGAGGACACAACCTGGACAGACAAGACACACTTCTACATACAGCAGTTAGGGCTGGGACGGGTAGCTCGGGGAGGACACAACCTGGACAGACAAGACACACTTCTACATACTGCAGTTAGGGCTGGGACGGGTAGCTCGGGGAGGACACAACCTGGACAGACAAGACACACTTCTACATACTGCAGTTAGGGCTGGGACGGGTAGCTCGGGTGGACAGACAAGACACACTTCTACATACTGCAGTTAGGGCTGGGAGGTAGCTGGGAGGACACAGCCTGGGGACACACTAGCTTAGGGGCTGGACGGGGAGGACACAACCTGGACAGACAAGACACACTTCTACATACTGCACTTAGGGCTGGTAACTCAGGGCCTGGGGTCAAATTTGGTTTTGTTTGGTGTTTAACGCCGCACTCAGCAATATTCTAACTATATGGCGGTGGTCTGTAAATAATCGAGTCTGGACCAGACAATCCAGTGATCAACATAATGAGCATCGATCTATGCAATTGGGATATGATGACGTGTCAACCAAGTCAGCGAGTCTGACAACCTGATCATGTGTTCCGCATCACTGTGTGTTCATCCCCTTCCACATCCTGCCATCTGCACAATGTTCACAATACATCACTCGGCACTAAACACAATCCTGGCCCATGTAATACAAGTGAGTGAGTGAGTGAGTTTAGTTTTATGCTGCACTCAGCAATATTCCAGCTCTCTGTGAAAAATCAAGTTTGAACCAGACAATCCAGTGATCAATAACATGAGCATCGATCTATGCAACTGGGATATGATGCCATGAGTCAGTTCCAGATGGTCTGTCTGGACACTTTACCTCTAAACAACTGACTGCTAGTGGGGGTTGTAGTCACAAATCTATTCTTGAAGATGACATAACCTGTTTTATATGTCATCTTGGTGTGACGTCTAGGGCTACAACGATTTGGTTTGATTCATCGAAAATTGAATCTGACACCTTAGTTTTGATTTTCGATAAGCATTATCACTATTTCGATTCGATACTTGAATATCTATTGGAATTATTTCAACACAATGAGAATGTAATTTTGACTCCAACTTGAGCAGTTTCAAGCACTGAAATTAGGCGAAACATGATTGGCTGACGCCGGGCTAATTCTCCAATGAGAGTTGTTGATAGTAGCCGTCGTCAAAGTGCTGTTCTGTGTTTAAACATCATATTTTATTTGTTTGAAAAAGGTTACATCATTTACATTCCTGATTTCCTAGTCAAATCTTCGAAAAAAAGTTTTCAATGTGACATGTTTTGTTCAGTAAATCTGGTGTTTTTTGTATGAAGAATCGAATTGAAAATGATCGAATTGAGGGTCCAACATCAAAAATCGATTGGGGTCTGCATGAATCGTTACAGCCCTAGTGACGTCATGCGCACACACACACAAACACACACACACCCATGCCTGGGGCGATCTGTATCAGTGTCCATCTGTACACGAGGGTTCTCAGACTGTGTACAGTCAAAGGGTCCATACAAATGATGCACTGAATTGTCCCATGGCACGCTTATATTTGTGAGTCATGCCATACTACCTCTTTCATTAAACTTTTCATGCGTTTTCCCATTTAGCAATATGTGTGTGCTTACACAGATGTACATGTCATTAGCAGGGTGATCACATGACTCACTGCATGCGATTTCATGCTATTTTTGTGCTTTATGACCAAATTTTTCCAATTGGTCGCAATGTTCAAACAGCCATGTGTCATTACTGGGTGTATGGCAAAAAACATGAAAGTAAAAAGAAACACCCCCTCAGAATTATTACCAGTAATATTGGAGTCATGTTTCTAATATTGTTTAATATAACTAAAGCACTATGATTGGTGTAAATTCTGTGCACCATGCAGGTTTACGTATGTGTACATTTTCAGTTCAAGCACTATGACTGGTCTGAACTGTACTATGCCAGTTGACGTGGGTCTATATTTAGTTAAAGCACTATATTGGTGTGAACTGTTACCTTGCCGGTTTCCGTGGGTCTCTATTCAGTTAAAGCACTACGACAGGTGTGAACTGTACCTTGCCAGTTGACTTGTGTCTATATTCAGCTAAAGCACTACGACAGGTGTGAACTGTACCTTGCCGGTTGACTTGGGTCTATATTCAGTTAAAGCACTACGACAGGTGTGAACTGTTTACCTTGCCGGTTGACTTGGGTCTATATTCAGTTAAAGCACTACGACAGGTGTGAACTGTTTACCTTGCCGGTTGACTTGGGTCTATATTCAGTTAAAGCACTACGACAGGTGTGAACTGTTTACCTTGCCGGTTGACTTGGGTCTATATTCAGTTAAAGCACTACTTCTACAGGTGTGAACTGTTTACCTTGCCGGTTGACTTGGGTCTATATTCAGTTAAAGCACTACGACAGGTGTGAACTGTCTACCTTGCTGGTTGACTTGGGTCTATATTCAGTTAAAGCACTACGACAGGTGTGAACTGTCTTACCTTGCCGGTTGACTTGGGTCTATATTCAGTTAAAGCACTACGACAGGTGTGAACTGTACCTTGCCGGTTGACTTGGGTCTATATTCAGTTAAAGCACTACGACAGGTGTGAACTGTTTACCTTGCTGGTTGACTTGGGTCTATATTCAGTTAAAGCACTACGACAGGTGTGAACTGTACCTTGCCGGTTGACTGGGTCTATATTCAGTTAAAGCACTACGACAGGTGTGAACTGTACCTTGCTGGTCTATCTATATTCAGTTAAAGCACTACGACAGGTGTGAACTGTACCTTGCTGGTTGACTTGGGTCTATATTCAGTTAAAGCACTACGACAGGTGTGAACTGTACCTTGCCGGTTGACTTGGGTCTATATTCAGTTAAAGCACTACGACAGGTGTGAACTGTACCTTGCTGGTTGACTTGGGTCTATATTCAGTTAAAGCACTACGACAGGTGTGAACTGTACCTTGCTGGGTCTGACACTTGGGTCTATATTTTGACTTGGGCCCTATATTCAGTTAAAGCACTACGACAGGTGTGAACTGTTTACCTTGCTGGTTGACTTGGGTCTATATTCAGTTAAAGCACTACGACAGGTGTGAACTGTTTACCTTGCTGGTTGACTTGGGTCTATATTCAGTTAAAGCACTACGACAGGTGTGAACTGTTTACCTTGCCGGTTGACTTGGGTCTATATTCAGTTAAAGCACTTGTGAACTGTTTACCTTGCCGGGTTGACTTGGGTCTATATTTAGTTAAAGCACTACGACAGGTGTGAACTGTTTACCTTGCTGGTTGACTTGGGTCTATATTCAGTTAAAAGCACTACGACAGGTAGGTGAACTGTACCTTGCTGGTTGACTTGGGTCTATATTTAGTTAAAGCACTACGACAGGTGTGAACTGTTTACCTTGCTGGTTGACTTGGGTCTATATTCAGTTAAAGCACTACGACAGGTGTGAACTGTTTACCTTGCTGGTTGACTTGGGTCTATATTCAGTTAAAGCACTACGACAGGTGTGAACTGTACCTTGCTGGTTGACTTGGGTCTATATTCAGTTAAAGCACTACGACAGGTGTGAACTGTTTACCTTGCTGGTTGACTTGGGTCTATATTCAGTTAAAGCACTACGACAGGTGTGAACTGTCTACCTTGCTGGTTGACTTGGGTCTATATTTAGTTAAAGCACTACGACAGGTGTGAACTGTTTACCTTGCTGGTTGACTTGGGTCTATATTCAGTTAAAGCACTACGACAGGTGTGAACTGTCTACCTTGCTGGTTGACTTGGGTCTATATTCAGTTAAAGCACTACGACAGGTGTGAACTGTTTACCTTGCTGGTTGACTTGGGTCTATATTCAGTTAAAGCACTACGACAGGTGTGAACTGTTTACCTTGCCGGTTGACTTGGGCCCCTTCCAGATACAGAAGTACACCAGTGTCCAGCACATCAGCAGGATGAGGGCCAGCTCCCACCTGATGTTGCCCTGCTCATTGATGCCAGACGACTGCTCCAACACACGCTGGCTGCAAGGTAATCCATATTCCTGATTAACACCTGGGCTAGCTGCACCTCAACCAACATCAACAATACCATATTTAACACAATATTATAGTATAAGCCCTATCAACTGTGACAATAGAGCACCATTGCTCCCTCATCTGACAGAATGTTCCTGAATTCACCATGTTCTTGTTGTTCATCTTTCTGTTCACTCTGTTCTTGTATAACATCCTTATCTCACCTTCTTGTATGAACCCGTGAAGGTCCGGGTTAGAATATTGATCTTCAGTAACCCATGCTTGTCGTAAGAGGCGACTAACGGGATTGAATGGTCACTTGGTTGACACGTCATCGGTTCCCAATTGCACAGATCGATGCTCATGCTGTTGATCACTGAATTGTCTGGTCCAGACTCGATTATTTACAGACCGCTGCCATATAGCTGGAATATTGCTGAGTGCGGCGTAAAACTAAACTCACTCACTCTTGTATGACATCCATATGTTCAGCTTATTCCTTTATTGAATCCTTTATTCCATGCTGGTCTAGTAGTATATACCCAATATCTCCCTGTGCCTGTATAAACATCTGATCACAGATTATCTGCATTAGTCTGTTCCCCTTGTCCACACAACTCATCGTCCCACCTCATCCAACATTTAACCAATCAGCTTCACTTTCCAAACATTCTTCCCCAACAATATCAAATATTTGTCTGTGATTTCTATACAAACTTGTTTTGCATCACAGGAAGCTCTTTTCAAAGTGTGTGTGTGTGTGTGTGTGTGTGTGTGTGTGTGTGTGTGTGTGTGTGTGTGTGTGTGTGTGTGTGTGTGTGTGTGTGTGTGTGTGTGTGTGTGTGTGTGTGTGTGTGTGTGTGTGTGTGTGTGTGTCTATTGGTTAAAGCGTTGTCTTGTCACACCGAAGACCCGGGTTCAATTCCCCACATAGGTACAATGTGTGAAGCCCCGCCATGATATTGCTGGAATATTGCTAAAATCGGTGTAAAACCATACTCACTCACTCACTCTTTTCAAAGAAAGAAAAATGAACCTCCAAACAATGTAGTTCACCTGAATGTCCAGTTCATGTGATCTACAATAACATTTGAGGTCGAAACGAATCTACTCACTAATAAAAATCTTCTGTCGGTGATCTTGTGTTATTTGCACTTCCTGTGTCCAGTTTAAATTCCAAACTGGAATTTGTAGAGTTACCAAGGTAACGCAACACTCCAGCGGCAGCTGATGAATTTTGTCTGTCTCCCTCCCAGCACATGTCGGAGCTCCAGGTGTGATTGCAACCCTTCCAGGGCAGCTCAGCCTGGAACGTGCTGAACAGGTAGTAGAAGGACCACGTGATGATGATGATGTAGTACGTGGTGAACAGGAACGATATCACTACCGTCGCAAGACCTGCACCTGTGGTAAAGTAACATCCATACAGTTGGGATACCAAAATGTCTTGTAATACGCAAAAATAACTATGAGGTACATATTTTGGAGAAAGAGTTCTACATACCAATCAGACGACCTTGGGTCCATAAACCTAAGTCTGCTCACAAGCAGAGTATTTTTTTTACACGTAAGTGAAATTTTGTGGCAATAAAAATGTCTCGACCAGCCAAATAATGAACTGTAATTTTAATGAACAACCCTCTACTGCTCAGTATAGAAACTGAATGAATGAATGAATGAATGAATGAATGAATGAATGTGAATGAATGTGAATGAATGAGTGTCTCTAATCTGTCTTCTTTTTAAAAAACCTGTCTGACTTCATATGCATATGTATTTCTCCGCTTATTTGGTCAGACACTTGGTGCCTAGTCAATTTTTGAAACAGCGACTCAGAAATAAAAAAAACATTTATTAATTAGAAAAAGAAATTGGGGGCAACAACATGGTTCAACAAAATACACCAGCCACAATACACACGACATGCTCATAAATAGGAAACAAAAACTTGAATATCAAGATCATCAAACAAGGCACCTATCCTTTCCCAGAACATCCAGGTGGGAATAGTGTGAGCTTATTCAACCCTGAATTCTCATATGAGAAACACGTGGACCTATTCTTCCCTAAATTCACATTTAAAAATTATGGTGGGGGACTTATTCTTTCTCATGTGGGGGGACTTATTCTTCCCTGAATTCTCATGTGGGAGGACTTATTCTTTCCAGAATTCTCCTGAATTCTCATGTGGGGGGACTTATTCTTCCTAGAATTCTCATGTGGGGGGATTTATTCTTCCTAGAATTCTCATGTGGGGGGACTTATTCTTCCCAGAATTCTCATGTGGGGGGGACTTATTCTTCCCAGAATTCTCATGTGTGGGGACTTATTCCTCCCTGAATTCTCATGTGGAAATCCTGGGAGGACATTCTGCCCTGAATTCTTATGTGGGAATTGGGGACCAATTCTGTTCGAATACCAAAGTGTTACAACTGTTATGAAAGTTTCCTTCATGAGAGATGGCAGAAAAGAAAAACAACAATTTCTATATCTTCTTCTCTGCGGCTCTTCCAGTCTCTAGTAGTCCACATCGACTCTTCCACAGTCATTCATCTCCACATCCACCATTACAATACACATATACAGTCAAACACACTATATCTAACTCAACTTCTCTGCACACATGTATTACATACACATATATACAGTATATCATAGATGAATAATTCTATACAAAACAAAAAACATTCGATATCTAACTGATGAATAAATTCAGATTATTACTTATATACATGACATGCTATGACACGCACTGATGTACAGCAGCTCCACAGTTCCTGAACATAAACACAGCGAACCCTTAACAACTCTGAATCCTTACCAAAGCACCATCAGCCCCTAACATGTTTCCCAGAAGCCAAAATTTAGATTCCATGGAGCCTTTAAGTCTTGGGAGCAACATTTGAAGAAACCCAAAGGTTGGTTAGTTGGTTGGTTGTTAACGCCGCACTCAGCAATATTCCAGCTACTAGGCGTCAGTCTGTAACTATTCCAGTCTGAACCAGATAATCCAGTGATCAACATCAGAAGCATCGTTCAATTGGGAACCGATGACATGTCAACCAAGCCAGCGAGCATGCTGAGGGCCACCTGATACTGTAAACCACCTCTTACAACAAGCATGGGTTACCGAAGACTAAGCCTAACCTCGATCCTCACAGGCTGAACAGTGGTATTTCCTGAAGAAAGTCATTTCTCTTATGAAACACTACAGGAGTTTGATGTTTATATGTAGAAATATACATAGATATAGATACATATTCCCAAACCACAGTTCTTTGTCTTTATATAAGCTCTGATATGCTTACAACCACAAAAAAGATGATGTTATATAACTGTAGCTGGAATAGTTGTCTTGTCGTGCTAGAAGGACATACAATGCTATTACCAAGGTCAGAGCTAGTACTGAATACATGTGGTATGTTGTGCAGTGTTTGAAACTTCAAGTTATAACATATATATGGCATCTCGGTAATGTGTGAACTATAATCTTTGTGCAAAAACAGAACAGGACGCATTTGTGTGATGTGAAATACACGGGATGTGGTTGGGTTAAACTCCGATAATTCAAGCAACGGTTAGACTTTGTAATTATAGTCACCAATACTTTCTATGCGATATTTGTCAGCTGGCCAGAAGCAAATTACATAACACTATTAACAGCAATATATATTATGGAAGGAGACAGTTTAATGGATAATTTCCTAGCCACATATGGATTCATTATTAAAAACATATAATTTATTTGAATTTTCAATTGTTACCTAGTTAGTAAACTCTCAACAAGCTGACAATGGTCAAACATGCATACAGGGTTTAACGCGATGCTCAAATGTGCATCCAGGACGCACAGTGTAGAGGATGGATGCAGAATAAAAATTCACTGCGTACAGAGGGATGCACAATAATATTTATTGTAGCCACAACACATCTAGGACTTTGCGATGTGTTTGGTTGTTTCTTTCAGAGCAGTTACGTGCATCATTTCATCCATCAGTCCACATTATCAACGATTCATTCCAGGCTCTAAAGACATTACCAAAATGTACAGTTCTCTACACTGTTACTAACACTGTCCCCCTGCTGTGATATTGCTGGAATATTGCTAAAAGCAGTGTAAAACCCACCTCACTCACTCACTACTTCACAAAAATATTTTATTCAGAATTCCAAAACTACCAAAAGGCACAAGTACACCACCAGACCTATCTATGTGCCAAGTTTGGTGAAGAAATAGTGAACAGTTTTAGAGTTCTGCTCCCGAAAAGAGCACTAGTACAATTTCAGTCGAAGTCAAACTTGTTGCCATGGAAACGCCAAAAATATTTTATTCAGAACTCCAAAACTACCAAAAGGCACCAGTACACCACCAGATCTATCTATGTGCCAAGTTTGGTGAAGAAATATTGAACAGTTTTAGAGTTCTGCTCCTGAAAAGAGCACTAGTAAAATTTCAGTCGAAGTCAAACTTGTTGCCATGGAAACGCCAAAAATATTTTATTCAGAACTCCAAAACTACCAAAAGGCACCAGTACACCACCAGATCTATCTATGTGCCAAGTTTGGTGAAGAAATATTGAACAGTTTTAGAGTTCTGCTCCGGAAAAGAGCACTACCACCAATTTCAGTCTAAGTCGAACTTGTTGCCATGGAAACGCCAAAAATATTTTATTCAAAATTCCAAAACTACCAAAAGGCACCAGTACACCACCAGATCTATCTATGTGCCAAGTTTGGTGAAGAAATATTGAACAGTTTTAGAGTTCTGTTCGAAAAGAGCACTACCACCAATTTGCGGGACTGGAACGACGCTAAGTCAAACATTCCGACCGCGATATCCCGTTTGACATCTTTGCGGAAGCAGCATAGGTTAGAATAATTCTAACCGGATCTTCATAGGTAATGAAACGGCTGGTAGCAGGTGGCGGAGTTGCGGGGATGTTAGTGGTTTTGGTATAAAGCGGCGCGACACGCTATGGGTGGCGCGGGCATTTCGGGGACATTCAGACGGTAACTTTGTTTGGTTTTATGAAAAGTTATCCCCTTTGTTTAAACGCCCTGAACTGGAACTCAGGGCGAAAGGACTTTAGAAGGACGTTTTGGAATGTAATGTAAGATCCAGCTAAAAGTTTTAGATGAACAGGCATCGTCTTTGACGCTATCATCGATGTTTTAAGAAAAAATAGCGCGGTGTATCCGCATTAGGCTTTGGGGCAGGGTAACGGAAGGACTGTGGAAACAGGAAGACATAAATCTTGCGACTTTCAAAATCTGGACCGTGATTTAAAGGCTTTGAGGACTTCGTTTATGATTGATAGAAAGAACTCGATTGGAGACTGTTTGGAAGCGGACGAGAAAAGTTGTTTTCGTTCATCGCAATCATGAAACTTCGAACTCCAAAAAAGCGAAAAGGACGATGCGCTTTTGGCGCGAGGGGCTTTAAGCTTTGGACAAAATATGTGTTTTACCGATCGAGGGACTTCGTAGCTGGCACCGCCCTTTACCTCAGGGCCCTGGACCAAACAAACTACGAAAACTTTGCTTCTTCCTCAAAGCGCCAAAATGCAATTAAAGGGCTACCGGGGTTTGACTTCCTGTACATTGGAATTTAAACGCTGTAATATTTAGGGCTGGGGCACGATAAAACGTTTTGGAATTTCTATTTCAGAGGCATTCACTTCCTGCAACTACCGCGATGTTCTATGGAAATGTTTACATTGTTATTAGATTAGTAAAGCTATAGCCCTGACCGAACCGAGAACATGTGACAGGACTTTGCTTTGAAGGGAAAGTATCAATAAAGAAAAATCGACAATATTGCTTTTAAGGAGCTAAATGAGGTGAACTGCCGATATTACGGACGCGGACACTAACTTCTTTGATCAATGTAGTATGCCCAGCTGCGTGGAAGCCTGCATTTACTGCCCTTGGTGACTTGACAAGAACTGTTACTGGATACTGGAGTTATGTTCTTCACGGGCATTAGATGGTGGAGAGAATTTTAAAATTACAAATGGGTTTATCTGGGCGAACTGGTTGTACTGTATATTATAAAAAGGTGCGGTAAGTGTTTGTGTATGTGTGTAGGCTGGTGTATCAATTATTAGCTAGCGTTATGCGACGGGACGTTTGGAAAAGCACAATGCCGCCGCACCGGCTTGGAGAATTCCAGCCATTTGGGATGCTATGAGTTACAATTTTGTCCTCTTAATTTAGGGGCCTCGATACTCTCCAACGCGGGATCCGTTTAGGAGAAATGGCTAACTCTCGAGCGAGTTCTGACGGAGAAACGCTTTTAGGCGAAACTTACATTGTTCGTGGAACAATTAGGGTACATGACTGGCTGTTCAATGGCTCTGGATTATAGTTGCGGTTTTGCTGGACATCGGTGAAACATGAAATTAAGAAAAATTCCAAAGGCTCGAAACTTGGAATAGCGTTATCTTCTGAGTAGCGGGCACCGAGGGATACTTCTACACAGCGGCAAGAAGCATAAGGTGATTTTTTCTAAAAAGAAACTCTTAAATAAACCTGTTTTTGGGAGTTGGGAGGACCTATATCCATAATCCAGGAACGACACTGGCACTATTTTCGCGGTAGGCTTTGGGGCCGGGCTGACGATTCCACTCCTGGATTAGCGCTGGTTTTCGATTTCTACCTCACGCTGAACACAGGATGGCCCGTGGATGAAGGGAGAGAATAAAGGTTTCACCAATAACAGGGGGCACGCGGTTATGCTGCTGAACGGCTTATGACTTTGGACGCTTCATATCCTGGTACTACGCCACCATAAATGCGGCACGACGGTTGGTTGCGACGACTGCGTGCTGGAACAGAAGTTAATGTGAGGAGAATTCTGTCTATCTAGGAGAGCTCAGGAACATACTGAAACCTTGGGTAGTATCTTTAATTCTGTAGAAACCATATTTCTATCTTCTTAGAGTTGATGACGCCACTTCCGGGTTTGATGACGCCAAACTCCGTTTAACGGTACTTCTTGATCAATTAGAGGTGCTTAAAACACCTGGAAAGTCTACTCATGACGCGTCTGCTAAGGTTCCTTTGACGTCACTTCCGCTGGGCGACATCACTTCCGCTTGATAGACATTCACTTCACGTGTCAACTTCATCGAATATGAGCCCCTACCCTCCACTATTTTTCCAAGGATATAACTAAACAACGATTGAAAGCCTGACATAACCTATAATTGTCGACTGTGATGGTGGTGGAAAGCTAGAAGCGCCCTACCAGAGCGGAAGGTCGAGGTTCCATCCCCCCTAATCGCGTCAAACCAAAAGACGCTAAAATGCCAGTACTTGTTAGTCCCTGCCAACAAAACGCTCGGGCATTAATGCCGTACAACAAGGACTGGTTGGCCTCGGAGTCAGTATAATGTGTCTGAGTATTCATGCTTCACTGCCGCATGGTATCTCAGTGGGCTAGCACTATAAACCAGCTTCTCAGTCTGCTAGTAAAGCTAAGTCACACACATACACACGATGCACGCCATCATATGAGCCGAAATATTCTCAAACGCTATATTCATGTTAAATCCACTTTCACCTCACCTCACCCTGTAAATGGATCTAGCATCCACTCCTAGAAGTCAATGCGGACCTTTGTGAACCCTATCACCCATCGCGGGATACCAACTCGACATAATGTTCAATTATAAGCGAAAATTTAGCTCTTCTTAAGCCTCACTTTCCATGGAATTCTACTTAGCCAGAATCCTCCCACTCTCTTCCTTAAGGCACTGTTCCAGTATCCCACTCGAGATGCCGTGAGTCAGGCTACAATGACCTCTCTCTCCCGCCTGTTGAAGGCTCACTTCTGATCTCCTCGCGGCCTTCCAAAGCGTATGAGGTTGCTGAGGAGATATGCTGATACTGGCCACCAGAGGTCCCTGTAGGCAGCTGTAGAAGGTCTAATTGCCGTTTACTATTGCCAACATCTCTAGAACATTGATATGATATGTACTTTCCTCCTGTGTCCATTTGCCTTGAACTTGAAATTGATCCATCTGTGCTCCCCATCCCGTAGTGGAATCATCTGAATATATATCGTGAGATCCTGAGGAGGTGGCCGAAACGGGGCTCCCGTAAGTACATTTGACTCCCGAGTCCACCAAAGAAGTTCTGAAGTCCAGACAAACAATTGTCAAGTCGAGGTCTAACATCCGGTACTGGTTTAGCCAGACCTGAGTCTTTCTCAGATGAATCCTGCCTCGCAGAGTAAAATCCTGGATAGATGTTAATCTTCCTACCAGAGACATCCAACTCCTGACTGACGGGTGTGAACTCTCACAACCTGATGAATTCTTTCCCGTAACTTCTCCCAACGATCTTGAGGAGGAAATATACGGCACTCTCTTGTATCCAGAACAGCTCCTAGGAATTTTATCCGAGGCGATGGAGTCAATTCTGATTTCTCTGGGTGAACAATAAGTCCCAAATGAGTGAACACATGTACAATGAACCTGGTCTGAACCACAAGCACGTTGGTGATTACATTCATGGGCAAAAAATCGTCGAGATAGCCGAAAATCTCTATGTGTCTGTGATGGAGGAAGGCCAGTATGGTAGTTATCATTACTGTGAATAGCCAGGGGGCAAGTGATATCCCGAATGGTAGAACCCTGAACTGATATCTGGGACCGTTGACTGCAAACCTCAGGTATCTCTGCGACAGAGGATGAATTGGCACATGCAGGTAAGCGTCCTTCAGGTCTAGACTTACAAACTTGACGTTCGGTTGAATAAGGGTGCGCAAATTCGCTAAAGATTCCATCCTGAATTTCGGTGGTTTTTCCGAAAATTCTTGTTGAGGATCTTTAGATCGATTATCATACGCATCTCCTCTGTGTCTTTCTTGGGGACAAGAAACATGGGAGAATAAAATCCCTCTGGGGTGTCTAGGGGAGACAATTCAACTATAGCTTCCTTTTCTAATAGTTGTTGAATAGCTTTGTTGGCTGCTGTTAGGCGAATAAAAAACCTCCGGCCTGTCGGCTGACATGTGACTGGAGGTCCAACATGCCAGGGTAGCAGAAATCCCTGATGCACCACTGAAAGAATCCACGAATCCTGTGTGATTAGTTCCCAATTCTTGTGATACCGTGCCAGACGGCCCCCTACCGGTGAAGGAATCATGTGTTGAACAAAATCGAATTCTATCTCCAAGTCCCGGGGCGGTTCCAAATCGTAAGGAATAGAATCTGTTTCTAGAGGGGACTCAGAACCTCCTAGCCCTTGAGGGGCGAAAAGACCTAGCCCCCCTACCTCTACCTCTAGAACTTGCAAAGGAACCCCTGCTAGAGGTCGATGTACGTGGTCTAGCATCCAAGGCTCTATCAAGCTGAATGGTGTAATGGCGCCTGTCGATTTATGGATTGAGGGCAAGACCCAGATGAAGGTTGTGTGCTATCTCTTCTACCCCTAGGTGCACTTCTGAACCTATTCTGCGACAAGAGGGCCGATGCTAAACGCTGATTAAGATTCCTCATAGTAATAGCATCCTTTGCTTCAACTGCTTGTTGACACTGCCCGTTGAAGGTAGCCTCTGAGTTCAAAGGTTGCTGAAACATCAGCTCCTTAGTGGATTCCGGTAGATTCTTAACTGAGTTCAACTTGTTTGTCCTATCCATAGCAGTGAGTCTGCCCAAGGATTAGACTTGATTCTGAGTAGCATCCGAAACAGCGTGATATAATACATCCAAGTAAGAATGAGCCAAGGCTACTTCATGCACCGACATAGCCACAAGAGTATCCTTCTTAATGTCCGTATAATCCTTGAAAACAGGAGGGAGTAACGCCCTTACACCCGCCGCGAACCAATTAACATAAGAGAGGATATCTATGGTAGAACACGCGGCTGTGTCCAATTCCTTAAATTCCCTGGGTTGGCATGGTAACGGAGAGTCCTTCTGATTACTTGCCCCCCAGCAGACTAAAGTCCTTGTCCACAGTAACACAACCCTCCTTCATAATCAATTCAGGATTAGATACTGGGTAGGCCGTATGCCCCTCTGAGTCCAATAAGTCCGGGATTAACGGTAATATGGGCGGATTGTCCGTATCTATAAAGTCCTGGCAAGCCATTGCCGTAACTGTAGCCATTGCATGACTATCCATGGCATTCCCCGTAGGACAAGCAGCCCTCCGCTGGGAGGCCGCCGTGAAGCCCGTGCTATCTGACAGCTGGTAAGGGACCGTGCCGGCGGCCTGAGCCCGACTAACCGAATCCCCCCCATGCCGCAAGGGCGACACAGATCCACCAGAGCGTGAAACGATAGCCGGCTCTGCAGACTGTCTGGCTTGGGTACTGGACCCTAAGGGTACCCCGCATGTGGCGGTGTCCCTCCCACACAAAGCCTTAGCATCTCCAGCCGTGGGGATCGGCAACCCAGCTTCAAGACGGCGATGGTACTCGGCCGAAACGAGCATAGCACCGTGCCGCCCTACAGGAAATGACTGTTGATTCAGGGGCCTAGTGCGCCCGTCATCGTCATTGTCATTTATATATGGAGCCCTCTGAGTTAACGATTCCGTGAAATCTAACTGCCTCTGCAATTCTGATATTTTCCCATCATTACGCTTTTCAAACTTATGGAAAGATTGCCGCATGGAAGCCTGAATATCTGACTTAACATCGAACAACAGGGACGTAATGGCCGACATGTCCACTTGGCTGGACGAAGAACTAGATTTTGATCTTGACCTAGACTTAGTCTCTGATTTAATGGAATCTGGATGAGGTTGAGAAGCAGATTTCTTAATTCTAGATGAATCTGATGAACCCGATAATTTCCTTTTCCTGGAATTATTGCGAGCCTTGTCCATAATTAACCAGTCCTCTTTTGATAATTTTGAGCACAGCAAACAACGATTATCTAAAGAGCAAGGCGATCCCACAAAACATGAGGCACATAATGAATGCAGGTCCGATTCAGCCACGAATCTCTGAGGCATTGCAAGCACTTGTTTTGCGACATTGTGATAACTTGGGGAGGACTTGGGGAGAACAATGCTGTGACGTCATGGCTAGGGGAGATAACTGTGTCACTCTTTAGGCATACCACTAAGGATAACTATGACTTAGTTTTTTTTAAGAGAACTTTTTTCTCTTTCATTTCTGTATGTCACTGTGATACCACAGGAAACTGGCAACCCTAATCCAGAGGGAACGTTTATGACATAATTATGTAAATTACGCTCCACAAGAAGCGCCCCTGTGGAGTACCCACTTTGGTACTACCTGGAGTGTCATATAAGGTGCCCTCTCAGTCCTGTATGTATGTGAGGGTGTGCATTTGGGAGGGGGAACTTCATTTCACCTCACCTTACCTCACCTCTTGTACATCTAATCCCAGAACAACAACTGACCTTTAAAGAAAGGGCACATCTTGTCGAGGGCTCCAATGGGTCCACGCCGTGTGTACTGTCCGATGGCCATTTCCATGTATGTGAGCGGGACTCCACACAGCACCAACATGATGAAGAACGGGATGAGGAAGGCCCCTGCAATAGACACATCCATTCTTCATAACAAAACAAACAGATATACAGACGCAATAATCCTGGAGGTCTCAGGAGCGAATGAATGGTTCTGAAATACCCAGAAACCATCAGGGGAACCAGCGATTCCAGTGACTATGATATCATTGGATTCTGGGTCACCTATGGGAAGCAACTCTGCAGTGAACTGTGGCTCCCCAGATAATTTGATCTACAGATATGAACATAACTACTCGAAAACAGTTACACTGTACACCAGTTAAAAAAATACAGCCTAAATGGCATATTCAAATGTATTCATCAAAATGCTCATTTTGTCGTAAGAAGAGTTTAATGGGTGCGGGTAGTCAGTCTCGCTGACTTGGTTGACACATATCATTATATTGCAGTGGAGTAGATCGATGCTCATGATGTTGATAACTAGATTGTCTGGTCCAGACTTGATTATATACACACTGCCACTGCTGGAATATTGCTGAGTGTGGCATTAAACAACAAACAAACAAACAAAACCAGAATTTGATATCATAAATGTTTGCTCAATACTGGATTCTTATGAAGAAAATTTGATGTGAAAGCTGTTGCGGTCACAATTTATTGGGAAACGATTAAATTTAATATATGGATAGTGTGGGACCTTCTGTAGCGCACTGTCATCAACTCCTAGAGTTGTCTTAGTTGATGGTGCTCTCATAACAGCCTGTTACATTGTTGGAAGAATGTCTCTTAGAACATATTTCATTTAACAACGACACTTATATGGAGCTGAACTCCACATCGCACAGGGCATGCTCTAAGCACATACCAAAAATGGATACACAATTGTCAGTTATTATTAAATAGATGGGTCTATAGGCCAGATTTAAAAGTAGTCAAGGAAGGGGCACATCTGAGGAAAAAGGGAAGAGATTTCCATAGCACAGCAGCAGAGTGTTTGAAGGATCTGGCACCAAATGTCTTCAACATGTATTGAGGCACGGAAAGCAGGAATTTAACAGCTGAACGAAGGTTTCTGGAAGGTTCATAGACAGCAGCATTTCCAAAAATGAACAGCAGAGTACATGATCCTTATCTTATATTCAACTGAAGATGTGGATCATTATTACACCTGTCATTTATGACATGCACCGAGACTGTCCCTACTTTCAGCACCTGCTGTCAGTTATTGATCTTTAAACGTGTCTTTGTTGCGGGGATCAAGAAAAGTGCAAGTCATGGACAGATCAATCAATGGCAAACCTTCTCCCAGGTTGCAGTTGTTCAGGCTAAGCACCAAGTCATGATGTTTGTTTACTAGTCGTGAGAGTTGAGGGTAAACTATACAACTGCATCATTGCACCCTCATCTGTATTTACCCTCTGTGACAAGACTTGAAATGGGGTTCAACATCGCACACTAGATTGTTCACTCATTTTGTGATGTACATGCATGTGTGTTTGTCTATCTGCTTGTCGTAGTCTACGCTGATGTCGTTTTTACAGCTATTTCACTGAGATACCATGTCGCAGTTGAACATCGTTACCTAACTTAGCCACAATGTACTGACTCACCCATGGTTGGTTTATCCCTGAAAACCGACAAGAATCATGAAAAATAGCAAAGGATTTTTATTACATCTCACAAGTATTATGTCAGTGGCTGATAAAATCATTATTCAAACTTAACACAGCTGCACTTCATGAAAATTGCCTATTTTTATTTGTATCAAGGAGAGTAGCTTCATTGTGTCTTCATGAGAATGGGTATTACCGTGAGTTGGACATACGTAAACAATTTATTGTCTGCGGGCTCCTGGGTATATAATAAAGGATTCAATGAAGATGTCGTGTTGCCCAATCCCTGTGAATCATGAATTGCCCTGTTCCCAAGAATGTGGCAGGGTAGAGCAATTCCAGGAATTGGGCATGACATAGACATGTTTATTTAAGATTCACTTTCTGTACAGCAATATTATAAAACATATACGTGTCCACAAGCCATTCTTGTAGAATCATATATCTTCTAGATATAACACATATAATATTTGGGATTACACTTTCTCAGTAAAGTACCGATTCTAGTACTTTTGTTGGGTTGAGGCCCATGTTGGGAATCGAACCCGGTATTCAGTGTGACGAACAAATGCTTTAACCACTAGGTTACCCTCATTTTTTAATGATTTTTATTTTACCTAAATCTAAATTCGACCCCACATTTAGTATTCACAATGTTACAAAGATAAATACTGATTGAACTTGAAGATGATTAGTGCTAATTACACAGGAACAGTCTGTCTCTCCTCTACAGTTACCTTATCTCATTAAAACTGTATGTAAGTGTAGTACATTATAGATTGTTGTACTGCATCAGTTAGCCTTGGTGTTGGCAATCACTGAGCCATGTAAAAAGAGACATGAATTCACAGGTTATAACATGCACATCCACCTCAGTAGTGCTCTCTCAGGACAGGCTATAACATGCACATCCACCTCAGTAGTGCTCTCTCAGGACAGGTTATAACATGCACATCCACCTCAGTAGTGCTCTCTCAGGACATTGTGATCAAGAAACACTAAACAAACAAACCAGTTTGTGTTTTGTGACGAGTTGTGATCCATGCATCATTCATCACTATCGGCAATAAAAGGGTCAAGGTCATTTGGGTTCTCTTGTACTTATCCATCGGAAAACCTCTGTACTTCTGAGAAACATCCCCATTCCATTAAACCTAAATAATTATTGCCATATATATATATCAGTTACGAAAGATTTGAGCTCACAATGTCTTCGTTTTATAATTTCATAAACAGACCAGCAAATATTTGAAACCAAGGAAAAAGCACGTGAAGATCTGGGTTAGAATTGGCAACCCATACTTGAGAGAGACGACTAACGGGATCTGGTGGTCAGACTCGCTGACTTGGTTGACACATGTCATCGTATCCCAATTGTGTAGATCGATGCTCATGCTGTTGATCACTGGATTGTCTGGTCTTGATAATTTACAGACCTCCGCCATGCAGCTGAGTTCTGCATTAAACAATAACCAACTAACCTACTTATACGAAGGAAAGAGTGAACAAACAATGATTGTGTTACAGGAAATTATGTAAGATTTCCAAAGGGTGAAAAACTGGTTTGCTTTGTTGTGAAGGTATGCAGCCGACCTCTACCCTGAATAGAAGCTGATTTGCAAGGTTGGGTCTGGCCTCTTGTAAGATCAAGTGTGAGACACCTCTTCCATCAGGTCCACGTACAGATATTCAAACATACAAAGGCTCTGTTGTATTTCTATATCAGCCCTTGAAACTGATAGACACACAACAAAAGTGCAAATAAACCATATTTACTTGCTGCTTTCTATCTTTTGAATTGGATCTTTGCATTTAACGATGGGGAAATCCATGGGATTCTGCAAGGTTGTATAGACCCATGTCTTGCATTTCAATGATGTATCGCACTAACTGATGCTGTTGGACTGGGGAAATGGACTTCTTCACGTGAACAATACAGGCCTGTGGAGGGTCCACAACAGTTTATTTAAACCACACGTCCAAAGCATAGGTCAGCACTGGGCTCAAACTTAAACTCACCCACAGGCCTATTGTCTGGATACATATACGTATATACCTAGGTCCGCCTCTGTGGTGTAGTGGTTAGGGCGTCTGCCCAGAGAGTGGAAGGTTGCGGGTTCAGTCCCCGGCTGCGTCATACCAAAAGACATTAAAATATGGTACTTGTTGGTCCCTGCCTGGGTACACTGTAATGGGTACAACAAGGACTGGTCGGCTTGGAGTCAGTATAATGTGTCTGAGTGGGGTATGCATGCTTAACTGCGGCATGGTATCTCAGTGAGCTAGCACTATAAAACCAGCTTAAATCTGGGCTAGTACCCGGTACAAGCAGCCACACATACACACACGCACGTCGTTATATGAGCGAAATATTTTTAAGTGCGACCTTAAACCCCATATCACTTATATACCTACGGTTGGTCATTGCTGGTTCTTTGTCTTAAACCCCTCGCACCTTGAAAGATGCCAACCCTAATTTAGCCCAATTAGTATTTTGGCCAAAAACTGATTCAAAAATGAGTATTTATTGGCCAAAATTAGTATTGACTTTTCCAAAGAAGTTTCATATTAAATAAAACAAGCATTGTCACTAAGGTGACATAATCCCCCGCCGCAAATGATCAAATCAAACTTATAAAGTAATGAAAGTTTAAGTTAAATGTCAACAAAAACATGACCAGTCAATCTCTCTTGATATCTTGCTCTTTAGTGTTCAAACACACACATATTTTCAGGACTGACTTTGACCTTGACATGAATGTCATAGTGTATGGAATAAGCAAAAATAGTACTAAAGAAATTGCTTTTTGAAAAACATTTAAGGGACTGACTGACTGAGTTTGGGTTTACGCCGCTTTTAGCAATATTCCAGCAACATCACGGCGGGGGACACCAGAAATGGGCTTCACACATTGTACCCATGTAGGGATTCGAACCCGGGTCTTCAGCGTGACGAGCCAACGCTTTAACCACTTGGCTACCCCACCACCCCACATTTAAGAGAAGTCTCGAAAGTCTTTGAAGAAAATCCAGTGAACCGTTTTTGAAATATCTTGCTGACAATTCAGGTTAATTTCTTTGAGAGGCATTTTTTCTTCTTTTCATACGTAATATTCTTCAAAGTGTCTCTGTGACCTTGAAAATTAAGTGAAAGTCTTTTAATAGAAAATCGACTGGGCCCTGCGCCTTCCCTGGATGAAGCTTGGTGTCAAATATGAAGAATCTCCAGTGAATGGTTCTTGAGGTATCTTGCTGACAAGCATAACCTGCAGGTTAATATGCTGAAATCTTCAAAGTGTCTCTGTGACCTTGAAAATTAAGTGAAGATCACCAAATTTGACTGGGCCCTGCGCCTTCCATACATAAAGCTTAGTTTCAAATATGAAGAAAATCCAGTTAACGGTTCTTAAGATAGCTTAACATGCAGCTTTACATGCTGAAATCTTCAAA